TTTGCATTAGATAAGCATATATAGAATTGTAACTGTTCACTGTTATAATGATATATTTTTTCTTGTTCTTTTTTCACTTTTATGTTAAAGCACTTTTATGTGTTAAAAATTTAAATAATAAAAAAGTTCTAAAATAACCTCCCTCGCACACATTAATATATCCACTGAGAAGAAGCAATTCCAAGTATACATTGATTGTAAATGCACAAAACAGTTAAATCAGCCCTATAATGCAACTGTATCCATGAAATCTCTTCCTTTGTAATCCAGAAAGAGCACTGTGACAATCAAACCTCATTATCTCAAAATATACTTCGGTACCTTTTAATATCATTAAGATGTGTGCATGAGCTCACTCCTAACAATACAAACACAAGTATGTTTACTTATTCATTAAATTGTTGAATTATGTTTATAAATATGGCCTTCAAATTTCACTGGGTTTTATTTCCATGTGAGTGTTTTTAGGATTGCAGTTTTTAGTCTTTTCGGTGTTTTACAATCTTCATATAAATTGTGAATGGGTCATCGGACAGGCTACTTCCTTATGAAAAGCAACTTGTTTTAGAAGTTGATAGAGATAAGATTTCATGGGATAGTCCATGTGGAATGCCAACTTTATTGGGAGAATCAGCAGCAAGGAGGTTAATAAATTTCTATTCTCTCTCAGTGCATGTCTGTTACTTCCAGAGCTTATGTGTCCCAAATGAGCAATTTCCTTTTTCATTCAAACCTTTTCCTGTTTATTCTCATAATGCCAAACCCTACTTATCTGGCCATTCTAAAATGTAAGCATAGAGTTTTCCTCAATTTGAGTTGATTCATTGAAAGATATCTGTCTAATATATTTTTAAGTAAAATATTTTTAATCTCACATAATACTAAATTTCTGGTTTGGGGGGAAAAGAGAGAGAGAGACAGTTAATACAGAAAATGTTCTTTGTTTTGGATTATTTTGGTTATTTTTTAAAAGATGCATAGAATTCCTAGAGGAAAAAAATGCAGTGACATATTAGAATTCAACTGGTTTATTATAGCATGAGGTTTTCTTGGCAGAGACCTTTAAACTCATACACAGAGTACATTGTTTGGACTTGGTCTTAATTTATTCTGTATTGCTACCATACAGAATGTTTCATCTTCACATAGAAAGAATTATTTGTCTTTCAACTAAAGAAAGATTGTTCTAGATCATTATTTTCAAAACCACATAATGTAACAGCACAATAGCTGAAGGCTTGCATGTTAAATCAATACAGTATTTCAGGTATCCATAAACCATTTTCAGAATAACATGGAAGACATTTCCCTCTCATTCAGAAGCTAATCAGATGAGATGCACTGAAGCAAAACTATGCAGGCTTGTCATTATGAGGTTTGTAAATGCCCCATTACAAACCCACAAGGAATGGAAAATTGTCCCTGAAGGCTTATTACAAAAATGAAGAACAAAAACTGTGAATATGTTGATGAAGATTCTCAGTCATCCAGGTGGAATTATCTGGAGGTTGAGTCATGGGACCCCTCGCGGTTTTTTATCAAATAAAAAAAAAAACACCACAAAAACCCTCCCCACCAAAAAAAAAAGGAAAAAAAGAGAAAGGGAAAA